CTCGCCCCCCTCCCTGCTGTCGGCGGGAGGCCTCGGAGATCTGCCCGCCCTCACCAAAGCCTTCCTCTCTCTCTCGCTCTTCCTCCTGCTGCACATTCTGCTCCCGCTCCTCCTCCTCCTCCTCCTTTTCCTTCTCCTCCACCTCCTCCCCATCTCCTCCTTCTCCTTTTCCCCATTCCCTTCTCTTCCTCTCCCTCCTGCTCCTCTTCCTGCTCTTCTATCCCTCCTCCTTACAAATAACTCCTGCCTGCCGCACCCCGGGACGGGACGGTTGGGCGGACTGGGCGTTTCGCTTGCGATTTTCCACCATTTATGATCCTCAAGCTTGAAATTTGCAACAGTGTCACGGATGGAGGGCGGGCCGTCTTCAAAATGTGGCCCTCGCTTGAGCGCAGCGCGGATTTTTCAAAGTTCTTAAGAGCTTCACGGATGCAGGGCGGGTGGTTTTCAACTTTTCAACCAGCGCCGCGCACATTCGTCTTAAAAGCTTGCAAGACTTGTACGGATGGAGGGTGGTTACTTTTCAGCATGTCGTTATCGCCTTAGCGCCGCGCGTAATCGTCTTACAAGTTTCAAAAAGCTTCACGTATGGATGGCGGTTCTTTTTCAACATGTAGTTCCCGAATTTGGGCCGCTCAAATTTGTTTTCAAAGCTTACAACAGTTTTGAGAATTCTTATGACTGGCGTCCCGGAAACGGTATTTGGGCACAAGTTAGGGTTGCCGGGTTGCGCGTTGTGGTACGACTTAGGATCGTCAGGTCGCAGCAGTAACGTTGATTCGCAGCGTTGAAGTCCCAGGAATGGTGGCTTGGAACTGTTGAATATCTTCAGACGGTTGTCTTACGAGGTTCTTCCCTCAGTAAAAGTGAATCTTTACAGGATGAAGTGGGCATTTGGAGGGAGGGTTTATTGCAACATCGTTGATGAAGTTTTGGCTTACACTGGCCTTCCTCCTCCTCCTGCTCCTGCTCCTCCTTCTCCTCCTCCTCCTCCTCCTCTCTTCTCCTCCTCCTCCTGCTCCTCCTCCCCAGTTCCTCTGCTTCCTCCTCCTCCTCTTTTCTCCTGCCCTTTCTCCTCCCGCGCTCCTTCTCCACCTCCCTCTTCCTGCCACTTCGGCGTGGACAGCGACGACGATCCCCCGACGGGTCTGGTCGGACCGCACTACAGCAGAGCCTGTTCCCTGCCACAGCACGCCTCTCCCGGTCATCCCAACCACGGAGTGCGTGGCCACTGACGCTGATGGCATTGCCACCGCGACCAGCCAGCCCGCCGCAGAGGCGGGGCCTGCTGCGGTGGTGATGCCCACTGGCGAACCCCAGCGTGGGCTTCACGCCACCGTAAGCTCTCCCCGCTGGCCAACCCCCTTAGCATCGCTCGGATGTGTGCATTTTTTCTTGGCGAATACCCTCGAGGAGCATCTCGGCTCGTCTCGCGAAAAATACACGCACGAAGCCGAAAAGTGCACTGGGAATGGACGTTCGAGCGATGGCGAGCCCCAGGACCCCCGCGGTCTCAGTAGACCGGCGAGGTGCCCTCTCCAGGCAGCTCACTGCTGCGGCCGCGACGGCCCGGAGCCGTGCGCCACCGCACTCGAGATTTCCTTGAGCACCCAAACCGGATAGGGCTCGATCGCCTCGCCGCCGCCAAACATCGCCTCGCTTCCTTCCAGGCCGCCTGGGACGCCGTCCGTCTGGGCTATAGCGTACTGCGGCAGCCTTCACCACCGTCCCGGTAGCCTCCGTCGCGGCCGCCGCCAGCACCTCACATCAGGCGTGGGCCGCAAGGACGCCATCTTCACCCCCAACCCCCAGAGCAGTTTCTTGCCTGGGTTGGCCCAGTCTTCTTTGGAAGATGTCCCCCACCGCCGTTCTCTTGCGGGGTGCGGTCTAAGCCCCGCGCGCGCCCGCCGGGTCCCAGAGCTCTGTCGTGTGCCCTTTCGTCGGCCACACGCCAAGAGCGCTGCGGGCTCCTGTTTCACTTGCACGGCTCCCGACTTATGGAGGAGCGCGGGTTCCCTGCGTTTCGCTCGTAGCCGCGGCGGCCGGACCCGCGCGTCCGATGTCGGTGTCTCTCTCCCTCTCTCTCTCTCTTTCTATCTCCCTTTGTTCGCCGTCCCCGCCCTCTTCCAACCCGCTCAGCCCCCCCCCGTCCCCCCATGCTCGGCCGCGCGCAGAGGGGGTAGGGGGAGGGGGGAAGGCTTCTTAGAAGCACCCCTGCTTCTTAGAAGGCGCGGGCCTTGCCTGTAAATGTAAGGCAGGCTCCTTCCAAGAAGCAGCCGCCTTCTAAGACGCCTCCCCCCTCCTCCCTCCCCCCTGACCCCTTGTGCGCGCCGCCAACATGCCTCCCTGGCCAGGCAGGAAAGTTGCATACGGCAGATTCTTTTTCTCGTGCCGGCGCGGCGGCGACCTCAGCGCGGGCGCTCAAGGTTGAGCGCTGCCAGTGGGCTGAAATCGGCCGACATCGAGCAATCTGCGCCGTCGGAAGGTCGCAGTCTCGCATGGCTCAGCGAACCGCGCGGTGTCAGAAACCAGTGCAGAGGTCGCCCCGACACGCCGTCCGCTGGTCCTAAGCCCATGTGCCTGGCCGGGGTCGGCGTGGCTGCGCATAGCTGGCGTCCTCCTGCCCTCCTCCTCTCGGAGGTCTCCAGAGTCCTCAGATGCCCCAAATCCTTCTCCGCCTCCTCTGCTCCTCCCTTGGCCTCGAGGACTACGCCGACAGCATCATCGACCAGATAGACCCGCGCAAGTTGATCAAGTTCAGACTGCGGGGGCCCTGGCTGCCGCGCCTCCATGGCTGCGCCCCCGTCGCGCGCGCACACGGGGCGTGTCAGTTTGAAGAACGCGAAGTGGCAAAGATACGGTCGGACCGAGGTATGAGATCGAGATCGGTTCGCGGAGGGCGCCCTACAGTTCTTCGTGATTGTTGGGTGTTCTTGTACGGGGCCCAGAAATATTCACCACCACCACCTCCCTTGCCCTCTCCCTGTCCCAGGAAAGATGAGAGGAAGGGGAGGGTAGGGGAGGGATGAGAAATGGAGGTGGTTGTAGTGTATATTCTTCGGAACACGCCTCTTGTGCATCCTGGCGCAGGGTACCCTCGAGTGTTCTTGAAGGATGTTCTCCTGTTCGAGGTCCGGTTGTACACTTTCCGAGGTCCGCGCGGCTCTCTTGGATCGGCGCTGGGCTCCCCCAGTAGCGCTTCTGGCGCCGCCACGGGCGCGCGCGCTTTCCGCTCCCGAGGTGGGGGGCCCAGCGCCAATGCGGCAAATCTGGACGGGCTTCTGGAAGTCTACGTGCACGCTTCTTCTTCTTCTTCTTTGCGGACCGAAGGATGGTAGCTCTGTGAACCGAGCTGGTCGAACGAAACGGGGGGGGGATAGGGAAAGGGGGGGTTACGAAATCTGCTGCAAACAGCTGATTTCCGCCCCGCCGCTGGGCTCATTCCTCGATGTGTGGTCGCCTCCAGCGCCAGGAGGCGCCAGGAGAACCAGCTACGTGAGCTGATTCTCTACCGTGTCCTTTGCTATCCTACCCCCTTCGTCCCCCCCGAACGAAGCTGGTCTTTTTTGGGGGGAGGGCTCATCAGCATTGATGGAAGGGTTCGGGAACTTTCTCTGCTCTCGCGCTCGTCGCAGGATTGTGTAATCCTGGAGTTTTACCTCAGCTCGGGTGCATGCTTGCACCGTCGATCGATCTGCATCTGTGTAGTGTCGGGGTGTCGTCATCCTCGTCGTCGGCAGCGGCAGAGGCCGGGGTCGGGCTCCTCTCGAGCCCGCTCCACCGACATGCGCGCCGAGGTACAGGCAGCACACGCTGCCCTGGGGCCCCCTCCACATCAAGGACTCGTCCTCCTCATCGCCCGCCCTCCCCCCATCCCTTTCTTCTCAACGCTTTCCTCCTCCTCCTCCCTCCCTCCCTCCTTCCCTCCCTTCCCTAACCCGCTTCGCAAAAATAATTACCAATCTTATGATGGTGGTGGTGACGACGTCCCATCCTCGGATGGACCAGAGGCTTTGAATAAGCCATGTTTTGCAAACCATCAAAGGCTCACGCAAAGCAGTAAGAGGCGAACTCGCTCGGTGTATTATTTCAGCTTGTAGAGGGATGAAGAAATGGTCTTTGGCGATAGCCGATGAATCCGTGGTCATGTCTACTCAGAAACAGGATGCTCAGCACGTGGCGCGCCGTGTGCGCCAAGCAGGTTTCTCAGTCAAACCAGCGTTGCAAGCAGCGTAGTTCGGCATTGATTTCGGATGTGTTCGCAGAGCACGGGCCACGCGAGTGAAAAGGGAAACGACACATATAATGTTATGAGCAGCAACATTCGTCGATTTGCCAAAGTTTCTCGTCAATATGGGGCTATATCAAAAAGTTTAACGGCAAGGAGGTTTGCCAGCGGGTGTTTGTGGACACCAAGTCCACGGAGTGTTTGGAACTCAGCTCACTCGATGTCATCGACGACTGGTCCAGTCGTGTGCATCATCTGCACAAGGACGGTGCCTCACGACGGTGCTGGATCTTCGCGCGCCTGATGCGTGCCCTGCAGTATTGCACCCCGTCCAGACCATCGACTGTTGGCTCAACGTTTGGCGCGTGCATGGTGAGATTCGCAATGGGGTTCGGGAAGTCTGGGGCCCGCTGGTTTCGAAATTTCAGCAGATGAGTGAGGGTGAGCAGGCTCGAGCTATTCGAGGACCCGTGTCGACGGTCGGTGATTCGCAGCCTTCTTCGATTGGGATGGAATCCGATGGAAGCGTCCATTTGGCGCTACCAAGCAGGCCGGGATCGAGTCGAGGAACGGCAATGTACTGGCCACATGTATGTTGACAGCAAGGTTGTCTCGCACCGGGCGCTACTGGACGACGTCAAAGAGGCTGCCGAGCTCAAGATCTGGGCAGTGGTGGCTAAGCACTATTGCGGAGGACGAGTGGAAGGCGGTGTCGACAACACCTCCTTTCGCAAAATGTTGACGCAGATGTCCAGCCTGGACCACGGGAAACGTACGGCAAACGTTCTGGTCATGACCGCAGCTGGCGGGTGTTGGCCTAGCGAGAGGCGCAGATATGACTGCAGTGACCTTTGCGATCGATGTGGAGAGTTTGTGGAAACACAGCTGCACAGGTATTGGACATGCTGCTGCAATCACGGTGCAGACCCTTGCTCCATGTCGGACGAGTTTGTGATGCAGGCTCAGGCTCGGGCGGCCTCATGCGAGGCCTTTTGGCTCCGAGGCTTGTTGCCAAAAGCTTGGGCCGCCGTTTCCCCGCCAGCAGCAGTTGCAGATTGGAAGTTCACGGGGCCGCCTTAGGAACGAGGGGCCCAGGGACCAGGAACCCCGCGTGTTTCCTTGCATGTTTTCGGTGGTGCGTCAGGAGGCCCTGATTCCAGTAGTAATGTCATGACAATGTAGGTGTTGCAATTGCGCTATGCCCCAGCTGGTCCCTGTAGTCGACATTGCAGGATGTCCGTGCAGACATTTAGTAGACAAGCGCCAGGTTGTAGCACGTGGCGAGTTGCAAGCCGTTGTGCTCGCAGTGTGGATGTCTCAGGACTGGCTTTGCTATATTAGGGTGGTACCAGCAGTTGCAGAAACACCCCGCAGGCGAGGATGTCAGCCTGTGGGAAGATATCGGCAATCTGTTGCAGCATCGGTGCCATGATCATGTTGCTGTGCTTTTCACCCACCCCCACTGTGGGCATGCCGAGATTGTCGGCGGCAGGGCGTCTCGTAATCTTGTGCTTGGGAATTTGGTGGCGGACGAGCTGGCTGGGCTTGCCGCCAAGCAGCATCGCGTTCCCGAGACTGATCGTTTCAGAGTTCGCCGAGAGCGTTCCACTACTCGCAAAGTGCCTATTCGCAAACGTCCGAAAAAAACACATGTCTGCTTTGATATACTGTATCGTAGATCCCCCGCGGCGGATCTAGGCCGTTTGCGAGTAGTTTCTTTGCGAGTAGTGGAACGCGCTCGGAGGACACGTTTGGTGCGACTCCGCGTGCTCCGTGCGACGCTAGATTGCTTCGCCAAGCAGACCCAGATGGAGTCCGAGAGGACAAAGAAGGGGGCTCCTCCCCCTCCCTGGCCCTCCGCCTCCTGCTGCTGCTGCTGCTGCTGCTCTCGCCCCGCTCGTGTCGCAACGTGCCCTTTCTGATGATAAGAGACGGTGTTTGAAGCACTACGGGACGGCCGCCCAAGCTACGATCAAATAGTTTTGGAATTCGCAGTGCCCGAGCTTAGTCAATGTCGGCGTTGCCATAGTTTCTCCGACTCGTGGCTCCTCGCGTGTGCATGTGGCGGGGGGCTGGCTAGATGATTCCCATCTCTTGGGTGTCCATGTGCAGTGATTAACCAGGTTTTGTGTGCGATGTGGTGCGGTGGCTGACAAACAGCTACGCTCGTTGGGCAAACCGTGCGCCCATCGTTAAACCCCGACAGGTCGTGAACACCTTGTCCGAATTCGGTTTAATTTGCAACCTACAGTTTTCAGCAAAGCCGAGAAGGCTCAGAGAGGCCGTGGGTAATGTGGTTGATCCGCACTGGCTTCGCCACTGGTTCCTCCTCCTCCTCATATCCCTCTCCTCCTCCTCTTCTTCCTCCTCCTCCTCCTCCTCCCTCTCCTCCTCGTCTCCCGCCTGCCGTGGGGCCATCTGCGGTCAGAAACTCCTCCCCGGTTTCTCCCTTTAGGGGGTCGAGATCCTAAAGAGAACGAAAGAGAGAGAGAGAGAGAGAGACACGCCATATATATGCATGTATGTATGCGTGACGTATATTTATATACACATATATATATATTTATATATGCATGTATGTATGTACGTATGTATATGTGTATACGTATGTGTGTACATATGTGTGCCTGTAGATGTATATGCGTACATATATATATATATATGTGTGCATCTATGTATGTATGCATGTATGTATGCATGCGTGTATGTATGCATGCATGTTTGCATGTATTTACGTATGCATGCGTGTATGTGTGTATGTATGTATGCATGCATGCATGTATATAGGTATTAAGTTATGGATGCGTACATATGTGTATGTATGGATGGAAGTGTGTATATATGTATGTACACATGTATATATGTGTGTATGTATGCATGTGTGTATGCATATATGTCTGTATGTTGGCGTACGATTGTATGTATGTATGTATGCATGCATGCATGCATTCATGTATGCATACATGTATATATGCAAGCATATACGTATGCATGTATGTATGCATACATGCATATCTGCATGCATACATGTTTGGCTGTATACATATACATATATATATATATATGTATGTGTATGTATGTATGCATGCATGCATGTATGTATGCATGCATGTATATATGCATGCATGCATGTATGCATGCATGCATGTATGCATGTATGTACGTACGTATGTATGCACGTATGTATGTATGTATGAATGAATGTCTGTCTGTCTGTCTGTCTGTCTGTCTGTCTGTCTGTCTGTCTGTCTGTCTGTATGTATGTATGTATGTATGTATGTACGCGTGATGCATGCATGCAAACCTGCGTGTGTAGGTATGTTTGTATGTACGTATGAGTGTATGCATATTCACCTACAGAGAAACATCACATAATCACGGAGTGTGTGAGAGAGAGAGAGAACAACATATACAGATAAAGAGGGGTATAGATAAAGAGTGAGCCGTCTCCCATCTCGCGGGGAGGGGGGGGGCGGCGTCGGTCGCCAGGATCCAACGGCCTGCCTCCGCCCCTGGTCGTCAAAGCCGAACACCACATGCGGTTCTATACTGATGCTGGTTGTGCTGTGGCAGAGGCGGTCCCGGGGCGTGCAGATCGAAGACTTCGCGGATGAGCTCATCCGTGGCAGTCTGCGCGCCGGCCTCGATGTCAGTGACATGCCGTTCTCGGAGGCAGGGCCAGGATCAAGCGGCCCCTGGTGGACCAACCCCCAGGGAGCCCCCGCCGGGGCGTCCGGGAAGCGCCGCGGAGGCGGTACGGAGGCGTTCTCCGCCTGCTCGTGGGGCAGGCGGTTGCGCGACGGCGCGAGCGTGAGCCGTGCTCGTGCGAAAGCAGGGGCAGCGTGAGGGGGGAGCGGGGGATGCATCGACCCCCAGTCGCCCATTGCTCGCCGACAGGGGCCCAATGGCCCACCCCGCGCAGGAAGGTACGTTTTTTCGTTATCGGGGGCCTGTCGCCGATCTACCGGCGACGCGTCGCCGAGTCCAGATCAGTGTCTGCCCCCCCATTGCCAGTCCCCCCTGTCGTTCCCCCTTTGTCGTGGGGGACGGGTGCGCGACGGCGCGAGCGTGGGCTGTCCTCGCGCGAGAGCGGGCGCGCCGGTGTGACGAAGCAGATGGTTGTGGGCGAGGCTCCGGAAGCATGCGCAGGACGAGGTGCTGGCGCACGGGCGGCCTGGAGGGCAAGAGGAGCGAGGGTGCCTCGAAGGCCGATGGCGTCACCGAGCAGGGGGCAGACGTGGAGCACCCCGTGGGAAGGTGACAAGGGGCGGGCCTTCTCAGAAGGCTCGGAAGGCCTCGGGCCTTCGGAGAAGTTTTTAAGCCCTTCGGAGAAAGCCTGCTCCTTCTCAGTTGTGTAGTCCACAACCCGGATAGCAGAGCACCGGAAGGCCGTCCAAAGGCCTCTCGAAGGAGCTCTGGAAGCTCCTGGAAGGAGCTTCCGAAGGAGCTTCCGAAGGAGCTTCTGGAGAGCTTGTGGGCATACGTATTCGGAAACGCTTAGAAAGGCCTGCCAGGACACGCTGCAACCTCGGGCAAGCCGCGCTGGGGATTTATCACGGAAGCCGGAACGAGCTTCGGGCATTGCAAAAGAAAGGCAGGTTTGCAGCAGCAGGCGGCGCTCACGGAGCTGGGCTCATCATCGGCAGCGGGACCGACGAGGCCGAGGTCTGCGTTCGGTACGGCAGGTCCGTCTCGTGTCGACGCGGCGGCGACCCCAGCGCGGGCGTTCATGGTTGAACGCCGCGAGTGGCCTAGAATCGGCCGCTATGGAGCGGTCTGCGCCGCTTGAGAGCCGCGATTGTTCAAGGTTGAACGGTCCACGCAGTGTCAGCAACCAGCGTACAAGTCGTCACGAGACGAACCTTCCGTACCAGTACTCGTTTATGGTGCCATGGTGTCCCAGGAGGCGGTCGGGAGTCGGGAGGTTCAGGACAAGCCAGGTCCTTTCTCGGCCCCCCGCTCACGCGAGGTGCACATGGTGCTCAGCGAAACAATCCAAAGAGTCCCTCTCCCTTTCCCGTCGCACTCTTTCCCTCTTACTTCTACTCCTCCTCCTCCTCCTCCTCAGTCCCCCGTTCTCCTCCGTGCTCTATCCTCAGGCTCTTCCTCCCTCGTCCCCCGATGTTCGACGGGTCCCAGTTTTGGTGAGTCGCTAGTGGCGCCTGCAAGAGGACCTGAGCCGGCTGGGGAGAGACCTGGGCCGCACCCTGATCATCGATAACATCGCGGAGAACTTCTTGCTCCAGCCGCAGGATTCGATTTTTGTTGTTGCTCGCCTGTTTGTTTGCGTGCTTGCGTGTGTGTCTTTCCCCGACCTGGCGGAGGGGTTCCCGTTGTGTGTCCCCCTGGGGGGGTCTGGGGGGGGACCCCCCGGGACAGGGCCCCGGCCACGCGCGGAACCCCGGCGGAAGCCGGCGGAAGACGGCCGCAATTCTGCTGACGCGCTTCTGGGAGGCATGGGCGGCTCGAAGAGGGTCTGGAAGATGGTCCAACAGGGCAACGAGCCGCTTACTGTTCGGACCATACCCTCCCAGATGGCCTCGAAGAGGCCCCGCGAGGCTTCACAGAGGGGTTCCAAGAGGGCTCCGAGAGGCAAAATTCATTGATTTCCTATCGGTTTTTGAAGATTTTTCGCGCTGGCGCCTTGTCGGCTTCACGACGCTCCAAGACGGCCCCAAAGGCCGAAAGATCCCCCCAAGACGGGCTCAGAGGCCCCCAAGATGCCCCCTGGAGAGCGCCCAGACGGTCCAAGACGCCCCCAAGGCGGCCCAA